ACTTTTCCCAATTTTCGTACAAATTTTATCGGCTCCCATCAGTTCTTCCCGAGGTAGGATTTGATGAAAACTTCGTCAACAACATTAAAGCTTTGGATATTGGGATTATGACCGTGCCCATTCACTAATTTTTATGATAACATGGCGTTGAAAATGGTCCGAATACGGCTTCCAAACATGGCTTCAGTGGGAAAATTTCGGTTCCTCGTGAACTTCATCGTTCTTTTTATCGTCTTTTCCAGCCATCCTGGAAAAGAAAAAACGAATATGTAAGTGCGTGTCAAAATACACTCGTATGCGCGTAAAAACACAAAGTGGGACAGCGTAAAAGCGACTTTTAAGAAATGTTTTTTTCTTGTGGTTTTTTTAAAACATGTTTTAATATGGATATTAGCAAAATAATAGATATATAAATATAAGTATATAAAAATTGATTTTCTATAGTGTATATAATACCATGGAAAATCGAGATGAAGCAAAATGTTAATTAGTGTCTTACGTGCAGTATTCGTTTAAATGTTCTGGAAATCTTACTCTTCTTCTAGAACGCGTTGTTTTAAGTTTATTTTCTGACGCTGTCGAAGTATCATCGTGTGTGTTGGCTGTCGGATGAGGTATTATAAGTGTGGGAGTCGTGTCGTGCGTTTGTACCGAAGCAAATTCGACGTCAATAGGAAGTCCCTCTAAATACGCTGCTTTGAGGCGATCGATGCTAATGCTATCGTTGGTTCCGTTCTTACCAATTATATAGCGCTTGGGTTCGCGTTGAACAACTTTGAAGGGTCCTTCGTATGCTGATTCAAGAGGTCGTCGATGTGAGTCTCGAAGAACGAAGGCGTATGTACTATATCGTAAGTCAGGTTGAACGAAAACATCAGTTGGTTGCGGTTGAGTGGAATCAGGTTTAACTGAACGCATTGCATTTGTAAGCCTGTTCGTTTAGGTGGTTAGATGCATGTACATTGAAGAGGATGAAGGACACACGAATTCTCCTGAAAGTCAAAGTGTCGTTCCCTAAACTAGTTGGGCCGAAATGTATTCAATGTCAGCTTTCACTGCATTGCGAATACTTAGTAGGACGAGTGGAACAGCGTCAGTCCACTGTGAATTGTTTACAGCTGATAGTGAGGCTTTAAGTTGTTGATGAAGGCGTTCTACTAACCCGTTTGATTGTGGATGGTAGGCGGTCGTTTGGAAGCGAGTGACACCTAATAGTGTGGTCAGACAACGGAAAAGTTCAGATTCGAACTGGCGTCCGCGATCTGTAGTGATGGTTGAAATGCAGCCAAAGTTTGCTACCCATCGTTCAACGAAGGCGCGGACCACTGTTTCAACAATGATGTCTTTGATAGGTACTGTTTCTGGCCATCGAGTGAAACGGTCTACGCAGGTTAAGAAATAAGAGTATCCATTTGAATCTGGTAAAGGTCCTACCAAATCCAGATGAACATGTTCGAAACGAGCGTCGGAAGTTTTGAATGAGTCTAAGGGACATTTGTTGTGTCTAATAACATTAGGTTTTTGGCAGCTTACACAGGAGCGTGCCCACTCCCTCACGTCTTTATTCATATAAGGCCAGCAAAACCGTTCTCCTATAAGCTTGATTGTTACACGAACACCTGGATGAGAAAGTTTGTGCCACATATTGAAGACGTTGCGTCGATAATGTTTCGGCACGATTGGTCGATCCCTACCTGTAGGTGTGTCACAAAGTAAGGTCTCCTTACCTATTTTCATCTGTTTGATGCGCATTTTAAGGATTGTTGACGATAACTCGTGCTGAAGATCAGTGTCTTCTTTTAGAAGCCGGACGAGTTTAAGGAGGTCGATTGCTTGGAAACTGTTCAAGAGTGTTATGCGAGGTAAGGCGTCTGTGAATACATTGTTTGCTCCAGAAATGTGTTGAATGTCTGAAGTGAACTGCGAAATGTAGTCCAGTTGTCAAGACTCACCTGGTGAGTACTTGTCTGAGGAGGAGCTTGAAAAGAAATTAGGCGGTTTATGGTCGGTGAAAAGGATGAATTCACGGCCTTCGCTATAATGTTGAAAATGCCGTACAGCACAATACATAGCTAGGAGTTCCCTACGGAGTGTGCTGTTTCTCGATTCAGTGTCTAGCAATGTCAAAGGTTGCCAGGATTGGTAAACTCATTGTTGCAAGAGGCCTCCGATTACTGAGTCGGATGCGTCTACTGCGATATTATTGGGTGCTTCAGTGTCCTGATGGGCAAGTGTTGTTGCTTGAGCGATAAGTTCCCTAACTGTGGACAATGCTTTACGCGCGTTGTCGTCTAGATTGATGGATTTCGCATTTCCACAACGTTGGTCGGTTAGTGGTTTCATAAGTGATGCGCATTTCGGTATGAATCGTCTATAGAAACTTACCAAGCTGTTAAACGTGCGTAATCGCTTGATGGTGGTCGGTTCTGGGTAATTCAAAATGTCTTGCGCATCTAGAGTGTGTTCTAGGAAGTCTAATGAGTCAGTTCCGATTTGGTATTTCTGAATTTTGACAGTAATGCCATGTTTTTGTAGTCGGTCGAAAACAAGATCCAGATGCTAGATATGAGATCCTCTATCCGAATTAGCTATTATATAGTCGTCAACAGACGCATGTACGAAGTTGAGACCTTGAAAAACGTCGTCTGTGAACCTGTGTAAGGTTTGTGCAGTATTTCTTAGACCGAAAGGCATTAGCAAAAATTCCTATATTCCGAAGGAAGTTATGATAGTTGTTTTTGGAATATCGTCAGTAGCCATAGGGATTTAGTTATACGCTTTTACCAGTCAGGGTTATCCGTCTCTCGTGGACTACAGACAGATGGCCCAAGTGGAGTGCTTCTTCGCTGGTTGTGTGACCTTTTACGGTCAATATGAAATTTAAGATAACGTGTAAGTGTATGACATAACTCCGTAATGTCATTCTGGGTCGTTTGAGGCTTTTATTTGATTGAAAAAAACCTCGGCATTAGAAGATTTCGTGATTTCTAAGATTCTGTCAGCAGATGCAGCCAGATCATCTAAGGCGTTGTTTTGAAACGAGATCAGTACAGCTTACATCTGTTGTGGAAAGTTGTATAAGAAAAGTTGTTTGAATAGGCCGCCATCGAAGGTTGTTTGACCGATAACCTCTCGGATTCTTTGCAACATGTCTGTCGCAGAACCGTGTTGCAGGTCGATATTATTAAGGAGTTGGCCTAACCTTTGTCGATCGCTTAGATCTCCGCGTTTAAGGATATATCGTTCAAGTGTTTCGTAGGGTTCCGAAACATTACTAGCAAACATATTGGGTGTTACTTACCTGTTGAATCCGCGCGGTAGTACCTTGACTACTGAGAGGAGTTGTGCACGTGTGTCGTTCACGCCGTGCTCGGAGAAGTCGGCTTCTGCGAAGCAGAACCAGACTTCGATGTTGTATGACCAGAAGGGCATTAGTTGGAACGAAGATGGGGACATAGTCTTTAGCTTAAGTACCTTGAGTGTCTCTTCAGCCAAATACAAGAATGAACGTGTGAATAAATTATGTATATCAAAAAGTATCACAATGTATAAAAAAATTAAAATAAGGCAATGATATATAAAATCCTAAGAAGGAACAGACTCACAATTTGCAATTTGACGTACAAGATCGCGTTAGGCTCACAATGAAGATGCCACAGGTATTCGAATTCAAATATGAATCGTACCCACCAAGTGAAATCAAAAGACAGAAGCGAGGAGATTCGAAGATATATTTGATAGGCTATCAATATATCGAGGATCGTCTGATCTACTCTGGCTAGCGATTGCAGGGGGTGTTGAGCATGGCGTTCCCACTCGTGATCTGATGTGGATGCACGACCGGGCGCCTTCAACTAGGTGAGTCCGTTAAAACTAATGTGGTCAGCATCCAATGTCGAAAACTTACAGAGCTATTTATTTTAAGGATTTATTTACCGCTACAGTATGTAGTGATACATCAATTATTTTTAGAGCAACATCACTTCACACAACTTTACTTTGAGAAAATGAAGTTGATTACAAATGAAATTTGATTAATGACAATCTGAACACATAAGAGGAAACGGTAATTTGTTACGGACAAATAATTCGAATTACATCCATGTCTACAAGACCAATTGACTTTGTCAGTAGTTTCGATGATTTCAAGTTCATTTTACAAAAAATCAAACTAGTGCTTGTTGACTGACTGTGATTAATAAAATTTACAGTTGCTATATAAAATCATATATATTTAATGGAACACATAAATACCATGGTAAGGTAGATGAATTTGTATTATGCACCCGGATTTTTCGATTGTTTCGCAAGACGTGTAACTTTGTTATCAGACCTCAATAAAAAATATTGTGAATTAACAAAGAGATATCTACCAGGATCTACATCTATCACACCACGACCAACAATGATACATCAACCCACATACATATACTAAACTATTATCAATCCTTGTCTATGTGTTTACGAATAAGTCGATTTTCTACTCAAACATACCATAAACTTCAATCTACAATTTCTCTATTTCATATTCAACAAACCAGATAAATCACGATAAAGTAGAATTTTGTCCAAATGGATGACTTTGTTAACTTTCTTCTCAATACAACTAACGTTCAGATTGATGGAATGAACGAACACCATGTAACAGTCAAGACATTTGCAATTCAGAGTATATTCGATTTATTTCAAACAATTTAACAACATAATCAACAGCATACTACTATATTACATCCACACTCCCAATCACTATCTACACAAAATCAATGGTATAATGCAAACTACAAATCGGATGATTTACAGAAACTCCATTTCCCACTTGATGACAACACAAACTCACAATGATTAGTTCATTTAAAACTCAATAATTTCAAATCCGATTCTGCTTAATCACGTACAATGAATAGAAATGAAGACAAGTGAACAAACACAGAAATTCTCATATTCATCATTCTTGTTCTACTCCATCATCAAAAGTACACAATTACAAGAGGAAACATCATTTAGGATAAGTTAATGTTGAGAAACAGTAAAATAAATCCAGAATATGAGAAAGTCAGTAAGAACAAATGAACCATTGATGCAAATATGAAATCTTCAGCTCTGTAGTATATTCTTCTTCCTCCGCAAAATATTTGAGCTTCAATTAAACTAGCCTAAAATCACAATAACAACGTACAAATTGAAATTCACAACATTCAATGCTGATTAGTTGTTTATCTAATATCAAGTGATTCTGAATTATAATTCACTAACTGACTTATTTGCAACTGAAATAATATCATTACATAATTTGATGAGTGTTAAAGTGATGATGTAATCACTATCTGAATATCTCTTGCTGCACTTCACTAATATTTGTCAATTCACCTCATTTACAACAGATATGTTGAAGTAGTCCAATATTAATTTGTATGTTACCTAACCATCAACGGAATCAGCAGGTTTCGAAATTCCTGAGTATATCTAGTGAATAAACAACAGTTAATGATTACTTCCACTATCTGATCATCTACATCTACAAATGTTTGTTGAAATTTTCTTATAGAAATAATTATGGCACATTGTTCAGTGAAACAGATTCATAGTGTATATTGACACATAACACATTGTTGTGTGAATAGCTCACTGAAGTGATATGGTTTAATCTTAACTTATTCGATGCATGGATTTGTATTGAAGGAGGAAGGTGAATAGACAGTAATCTCATTTCATTCAAACTACTATTCACTCACCGGAATTACGATGGCTAAAACAAGGGGACCAATTGCCCACGTCACCTGAAATGCAAAGTTAAATTATTTACTAGTGTGAAAATCATCTATTCATCTGTCCGTTTCCTTCAATCCACCACTCAATCACATGTGACATCAAGTTAATTTTTGTGACGCTGAATTCAATTAATGTAGTACACATTGTATTACTGCGAGAGATAAGAACGAAATTCAAAATGAAAAATCTCAATCGAATTGAGACTGAGAGCAGTGCTATATGGTAACCAATGTGAACGCGAGCGTCAACCAAACTGTTTCCATATTTGAGTTAGTTTCAACTTTCTTTTCACAGGATTAAATAATGAATCTGTCTTTAATAACTCTTTATTCCAAGATTGATGTCATATAGACATGAACTAACAATGTTGAATATGGTGTACTCTTTGAAGACTGCTAGAATTTACTTCATAATCATTAATAAATATCAACGGTGAATTACGATCTGAACTCCTGTTGTCTCAATAATTCATCACACTAATACAAATTTACCAGAATTCAAATAAATAAGCAGTTTCTATGTGAACCAACATTATTTTAACCCTGATGGCTGAAATTCATTTGTTTATTGACATTAACCAGTGAATAAAATGTTGAAAATTTGACTTCCATGCTAACTTTGACAATCGTTCATACACATTGAATTTAGTAATCAAATTATCAATATTATTCGGTTACTCTATTGCAAGGAAGCGTGTTACCCACGCATCAACGTATCTTGAATTCAACAATCTCATTTTCACATGTATACTGATCAAACAGTACAATTCAAATATTATCTAAACATAACTGATATATAAGAAATGCTGAGAACTGTAATATACGCAAATGATTAACGATCAAATTCAGTGATTAATAAAACCAAATAAAATGGGATCTCAACAATGGTGAAACAGTAATGGAATTTATCGTAGCTACGCTGATGATTACATAGTGGATCCTGTATAAGAGTGAACGTGTTTACTTCCGGTGTGCGTTCACTACTGATAGAACAATACTAGTGGATATCTAAAACTGATTTAGAATATGCCATAAAATCAACAATTGTCAAACAATCTACTAAAATATAAGCAAATTAAAACTCACCTGAGAAACTCCAAGTTTCCATGGGATCAATAGTGCAATAATGATAAGTATGATAATAATGACATAAATCAAAAACGACCGAAAATAACTGACCAAATCACGTTTAATGTTTATTCCAACCATAAACAATAACACTGATAGAATAATGGCCAAAATCCAACTGATAAATATGAACATTCCTTCCACGTAGATTGAAAGACAAGTTATCACACCAGCAAAGCTGAAGCTCTTGAAATAAAAATTGATAAAAAGAGGATTGTTCAAAGGACATATATTTTCCATAAAACTGGCGTGAATTTTTCAGAATCTAAAATTATTATTATTATTATCGCATTGAGATACGGCAGTGTTAAATCAACTTTATATTACTTTTGTCAAACGTTTTACACACATTCGTCCATTGCTAACAAAAACAACTTACGAGTAGTACATAAAGGAAATCCGTGAGGTATTTCAAATGTGGGAATCTCTGAATAAAGAAAATTGTAATGGTTGCAACAATCGAAATGGAACTGTAATGTAAATTATAAAGTGTCAAAATCAATTCAATAAGATAACTAGATGCAATTTAGAAAATCTAGTTGAAAAATATCACAATAAATGGTGTGGTGTAAATCGTATATATCCTGATGAAATTTACACGTAGTTGAATAGCCCAATCATGCCCTTTCAACCAATTATACATCAAACGATAGATTATTATGTTAAAGTTTATTTTCCTCCATATTTTTTGTGAACCAATCTGAAAGCGAATGAAACTCGGTATTCACGATATTTTTTATCCTGTTTTATATAAACGAAAGAATAATTATAAATTTTAGATTTAACTCAACTTATTTAAGCATAATAATTCCGCCTGCCACCTCTCCAGTACTACTGACGGTCCCAAGCCCGAATGAAGGAGGAAGTCTGGACGTGGGATTAGCGACCCCCTCCGGTAGAAATCTAACTCGCTAAACAAACGCTAGCCAGAAAAAAACTAATTTTAAGATAAAAATACATAACATATGTGTGTACTCTATAAATGTTTGAAAAACCATATAGAAGCTTACCGAATGCATTTCGAATAAATGATGATCAATTTCTATTCTTATATGAATTTATTACACTTACCTCAAAATAAAAGTTAACCAATACGTTTGATCGAGCATGACAAAGAATTTAAAACTGGAATATGATTATTAAAAAATCGGAACACTGGAAAGTTACAAACTTTGCGAACGCTAATGCAGTCATCAATATTGATAGAAACACTTGAAGGATATTGGTTAAAAACACCTACATTCTGAAATAAATATTTTCAACTGATTTCTACTTTCAATATTAATCGAGTGCGTACTGGATCAACCATTCCAGATAACGTGGAATCGTCGCAGATTACCACTTGATTATTATATTTGATTCCATCATTGTATGTATGTGATCCTGATAAGAGAGGATGAGATATAGGATTACTATTAAACAATTGATTATATAAAGCAATCTGACTTGACTGTCTCTGTTATGATTAGTGAATATTGTGAACAAAAGTGTTAATGAAACATTAATCATGTTTGACCAAAGCAAAGACAATTTACATGGCAGAGATAAAATGAATCTACTATAGTTCGGTGTTTCTCAACAGTTGCTTCCAACATCAGCACCATAATAATAATCATGAAAAATCGGTCTACATACTTTATATTGGAAGAATTCTCCTCAATGGGAATTAATGAAAAGATTGATAAGTATGAAAGAACGATAAGATATATTTGTACATGAAATCAATTGAACATTTATAGGTTGTATGTATGAACATTCTAGGAGTTTATTCAACAGAATCATTTCGAAATAGGAGAATAGTCGACTCATCAAGTCACATTTATGATTGTATTTCTGGTAGCAATAAATAGTATATCAAATTGTGTTATGTAACTCAATATTCACGATTATTTCCGTTTCAAATAGTGATCTCCTATCAAACAACTAAAACCAGTGTCTAGAGTATAATTAATGCACGATCTTCGAGCGATATTAAAGTGTCCTTTCGATCAATTATCGAAATGTGATTATATCATTCAATTAGTTTAACTTGATTATTCACAACAATGTTAATCAAAAATCTATTAATGTAAATACAAACCTTCATTTGGATGTTTGTGCAACATTAGTTGTGTTCACAAGAAGTGCTAGTTGAAGCTGATCAACTCAATCAACGTTATTTTATAATTTCGATGCAAATGAAAACGACCAGTGACCATTAAATACAGTATAAAGAACAAAACGACTTTTGATCTGATCAAAGTTCAAATTAGGTAGTGCATACTAGCCTGATCCACTCAACAATTATATAGTTCAATAAATGAGACAGTGATTATCGATATGAGAGAACATTCAAATGACATTCTACACGATATAAATTGGCTGGATGTTAAATATTGTCCGGATGCCACCAGCAATACTTGCATGTTCTTAACCATAGTCCGATGAATTTACATATGAACTTGGTCAACAATTATCAGTATAACAAGAATACTACACAATATTTATGCCACGACCTGTAGTTTAAGAATTCAAAGTCAATTATCTAGATAGAAAGATGATCCAGTTATCCACTAGATTGTACAACTGAAACTGTGTTTACCAGACGTTGACGCATAACTGTTTGAACCTACCCGTACATCAGGTTAATGATTCTGATTGATCAGTCCCTAATGGCATATTTGTACCCTGAAATGATTTTCAGGATAGTAATATTAGATCACAAGATAATTTTAGTATAGTTGTTTGATGTCTGCCAGTCGAATCGAAGAAACCAGTTCCGTCCTATTTGTGACTCATCAGACAGGTGTACATAGTACCACAACGTCTTACCCACTGAAACGACAACAAAGGATTTATCAACGCATATTCTGTACTGCTTTTATTCATCTGAAATTCGTGAAGATGACACTGAATTGATGAGTTAATTATTTATGAACAAAATGTTCAAGAGTTTGTTTTGTTTGTTTGTTTGTTTCATAGCAAAACGTAATCAACAACTGACATGCTAACAGTAATACTGCACAGTATTTATGCCAGTTGACCTGTACTTTAAGAATTCAACGTCAATTTACTAGATGGAAAGATTATCGGCTTTACTATTGACCGCATCAAAATTATTGAGTATTTATGATTGTGAAGCATTTCAAGCTAACACAAGTGGTGAGACCATAATTTATAGATGAACCAATGAGAGTTAGGATAACACATGTTGTATTTTGATGCGAAGCTCATTCATCCATTTGGGAAAATGGAGTTCTTGCATTTTGCTGATGTCTGTTCGTGATGAAATGCTCAATCTAATTCGTAAGTTGAACCATCAACTTTAAATCGAAATTCTAATTCCTCTCACTGGTTTATAACAATGATTGATCACTGTGTGGTGATCGATTTCATTTTTATCAGGTCGTTCATAATGTAGATCGAATCCTATCGAACAAGTTGAAATGATGCCACTATTCTGGGTGAGTCATGGTCTCGGTTAGTCGAGGTTCATTTAGCTAAATGTGAAGTTGGGTGACACGGGATGGAGTCCGTCAGGGAACATCAGTTTTCTCAAGATTACATTTACACTTTGCTGACCAGTATCAACTAGAACGATACCTAGGTCCAGGTTTGCTTGTTGAATTCATCCAACCACCATTTTAACTAGTTTATAACCCACATCTCGCATTTGTCAGTGGATGAACATTTGGAAAATCACTTCAGCGTCACTCAAATGTCCTCCCACCTCAACCTCACTTTAATTATCTAGTTGTAATAATGATAATAATAATAATGATTAGCTAAAATGTTATTATTTATACAACTTACTATGTATACACTTGAAGGAGTTCCTCTCTTAATGCATTCAAATTCAGCTAAACAATTATCGGTTACATTCTCCTCATAGTTCTCTAGTGTGATGTCGCAATTTATATTTCATATCTATTTCAACCATTACAATTCGTAAAGATTTGATATTAATTAGTGTTATCTAAGTCCTGTGTAAGAATTAGAGAAATGTCGCATTGGCCACCACTGAGTGTTTGGTTAACTACAATCGACAAAGTTGAGCATAACAACAGTGGTAATAATGTTGTAAATTGTTCATTTAATACTTATAATGAATTATTGGAAAATTCTTTCAATCCTAGTTTTCCAATCAATGAAGTTGGATTTTGAACTGGCATTCAACAATTCCAATTTTTATTTGGAAAAGTTGGATAGACTACAAATATATAAGCAGGTTCATTCACAGTTACATAATTAGATGTTATCAAATACATTGAATTGTTAATTAATGTTTGGCAAGATATTTAATATCTAATGAGTAACTATGTTGTTTATTCTCATACTTATCGACACTGCATATATTGATTTGTTGCAAAGAAATTGATATGCAAACATAAAATTTGATACATTTTGATCTTAGATAACGACGAAAAACTGTGTGTAGTGATGGACAGTTATTTAGTTCTAGTATGATGTCTTTCCATTGTCTAAATCTCTTACCTCAGATGGATGAGCACTGATTAGAAGTCCTATCATAGAATGAAACGACTATCTATTACGTTGTTTGTTTGTTTTTTCATTGTCTAACTAAAACTATTTTATGATGTAAACTATGAAATATTTTATTGTCTATCATTTCACTGATTGAAATCATGAGTCAGTTGAAGCTAGACAACCATGGAAAACCTGGAAACACTGGACGTCCGTTTCGTCCTAGTATGGGACTCCTTAGCAGTGCGCATCCACGATCCCGCACCCCGTAAGATTCGAACCCGGGAAATATCAGTCTCGTGCCAGATGATTAACCAACTAAACCACTGAACCGGCATCCAACATAACATTATTAACTTTCATTGTGTTATTTATTCTTCTTAGAGTTTGATCAAAACTCTAATTGTTTTTATTTGTTTATTACTCAAACTAATTAGCTTCCTAATCTAGTAATGCAAATTTGTTTATGAAAAAAAAAGAAAAATACAGGTTTATTTAGTAATCAATTAGTTGTATATTAGTTTTGGATAATTAACACAATTAAATGTTACCTTAAAGAATAGATTTGTAATATAACTTTCTCATGATATAATCATACAATTGTCATTTGATTAAAAATATAATGTATGATTAACAATATGTAGATATAGACGCTTCCGCTTTTGTTGATTTGGAGAGCCATCCACACTACATACAATGTACTCATGCATTGATATACATTACAAAATAGTAAAAATTTATTATCACGCTATATTCACAAAAATTATTACTTAGTAGGTCATTTGATGTGTCATACAGGAATGTTTGTTCTAAAATAATTCAAATCACATTGAATTAATCACATCTCATTAATGTGTGTATATATATAATGGATATAAAAATTTTTAAAAAACTTTTCTTTATTCATTTCATACCTTATCAACAAACATTCAGCATAGTAACCAGAAAAAGAATGGAAAAAATGACATTGAAAATTGCTTTTAGTTCTATACAATTCAATGAATTTAATTCATATCGTTATGGTATTATTCTACCATTCAATAAACAAATTATATGTAAACAATTTAATTTAAAACAATGGCCAATAACAAAATTATGGAGGAACATTTTTCGAAATATATTTCATTGCAAATTATTACAACGTTTTCATGAATCTAAATTATTATTATTTAATAATAATAATCATCTTATCATACCATATGAAATTGATATAGATTATAATCATTTCACTATATTAACAAATTATTATCCATTCGGTAATTTATTTGAATGGTTTCAACAAAGATTCACATTCACTATTGAAGATATATATTATATTATAAAATATTTATGCGAAGCTGTTAATTATTTACATAGTAACCATATTTGCCATGGTAACATTAAACCATATAATATATTCTTTAAAACATTTCATCCTAAATCATTATCATTAGTATTAGATTTTAGTGTATTAACAGAAATCAATATATTATGTAATCATAATGATACAAAATTATTTATATATTGGTCACCGGAATATATGATACATGTTAAGGTAACAATGGATGATATAAATGTAATTCAAAAAGACAATATATGTTATATTATGAAAAAATTATGGAAGAAAAAATCAATGGAATTAGATATATGGTCTATTGGTATTATTATGTATTTATTATTAACTGGGAAATTACCATTTATTGATCAATATAAAGAATTGAATACATTTATTAATGATATCAAAACAAATTCTATACAATTAAATAATACATTATTATTATATAATATTGATAAATCAATATATCAAATCATTAATATGTTATTACAAATCGATATACATCAACGTATTGATCTTAATCAATTTATGATAATCAATTGGTTGCATGATATTCATCATGAAAATAAACAAAGAAATATAAAATCAATTATAGAATATAATTTTTTAACTACATTTATACAACATCAAATGGAATCAGAGAATACATTGAAACAATTAAAACATTTAATGAAAATTACAAATTCAAATGAACAGTGATAATCATGATGATGAGGTGGAGGGTGAGAAGAAAAAAGAATTCCAATTTGACCAATTAGAAAATAGGATGAAAAAAATAATACGTTTTCCCACCTTAGCAACTAAATATATTTATGAGAAGTACCAAAAAACAAACGGAAAGTAATTATGATCAATATAAAAATGTTTCTATGATATCTAGTCAATTTGTTCAATTCGACTATGAATGAAAAATAAAATAATAACAGGGAAAATTATTAGTTTTTTTTTGCAACATGATAATACACTTTCAAGATGTTTTAGTCAAAGTGACCATTTTATTTTCAATATGAAGTGTATTACTTTGAAAATGTTGGGATTAGATTGTTAAGCGAGATTATGATCTCAGATCTTATTGTTTATCTATCAAAAACAATATGAAAACAATGATTCTTATTAATAAGTGATGATTAATTAATGCAAAGACATTATATTATTAACATATCACATTTACATTAATATAAATACCAAACAGTCTGTTCATTATTATTTCATTTTATATAGAATTAAATAAAGTGTTATTTTTATAAACTAATGTTTTTTCTGATTTGTTATGAATAACTAATTGAATATACATATTACGGTTACTTAATTGAGTAGTGTTATGATACGAGTGTTATTACTCATGAAACCATTTTACCGTCACTCTTGGTACAGAGCTCAAGTGAAGGAAAAGGCTTAAACACGAGGTTAGCAATCTCAACTCATCAAAAGAATGGCGATCAAAAAAATCATGGTCGTAATTTGTGTCATATATGTTTATAGTTATCGCTTGTAGGTTGAAGTATTTTATCTAAAGTCAAAGCCATGTACCTATACAAAGTCACTTATACATCTCTCCTATTGAATAGTTCACAGATTTATTGACCTGTTGACTAGTGATTACTAGACAAGTTGTATGAAGTTCAATATAAAATGATCTATACTATATATTACTAAACGAGCTTAAGTATACTTCAGTCGCATAATAAAAACGTGTTACATATAAATATGATAAAGTTTCATATCTGTCAACATTAACTATTCTCAACTTTAACATTATAGAAGTTCTTTAGTGACTCCTATTTAGATCGTATAAATGTTTGCTATCGCCTATTCTCTTATATAATCGTCGACTTAAATCACGTTATCCAATAACGGAATTAAATAAGTCAAATAACGAGAATGGGATTTTGAATACATATATTTTGTATATGAGGTGAATGGAATAGAAGGAAGAGAAATGATGCAGTGCGGAGATGGCTGGTAAGTCAACTCCATTTCAAGCCAGGCATTACTCAATATTTATAGGCAGACAAAATAAACTACAGATATATGATGAGTCATGGAACATGAAGTGTGCACACATACACGCTCATATAAAAACAGTCAAGGCTAATAAGCGAATAATTGACAAGGTCAAAATATGACTCAAGTAGAATGAATAGACTGAAATGTCCGAAAACTAGAATAAGATATATTATGGGCTAAAACTAATGACTAACACTACAGTTCTAAATAAATTAACTTTCAATTCTCACACACGTTTATACTTAGGATGTGATTTTATTATCTCCTTCGGATCTGTTAACTGTTTCCTGATCCTTACAGATCTATAGAGTTATTTATAATAAAAGAAAGTGATACATTGCAGTACTTAAAGAAATTTGTGATTCTTTAATGACGTTCTCCTGTTGTTCTTCAATTCAGATCCCGATTCGAATGTCAATTCAGTGATAATAAAAAGATACATGTTCCTTTATATAAATTTATAGAGTCTCTAATTGCTATATGTATGATCCCTAAATGAAGAATAAAGGAATGAGCAAAACTAATCTATATTACCGACCGTTATCAATATTGAAACAACGATGTAGTTCTTATTTCCTTCATTTGCTTTTCAACACAAACACTCATTATATCAAGAAGTAATAGATGAAAATTTAATGGAACTTAAGTTTTTTTTAAATTTTATGTGACTTTCAAGTTTCCCAAGATTTACAATCATTTAATCAACATTCTCATACTGAGTCCTAAGTAGGAAGAAACGCGCGTCAAACTGGATTTCACTGCTAGCCACTATCCATCATTGCTTACAAATAGCTTGTGAAATTAAAGTAATATCGAGGCATACACACAGTATGCACATATACCAATAACAGACTGATCAATTGCAGTCTAAAACCTCAATGAGAAGATAAAAGCCAAACAATACCAAGTGAATCAAGGATCATTTAATGTTTAAGATTTTTGATATAATCATCAATAATTTAACTAATCAGCTATTGTAGTTTACACAATATATGTGTAAGTAACTTTACTAGTTAAATGACAAAGTCACTAGAAATGAATGTATAATTCATGATCTGATGAAGCATAGAGGTTGTTGGGTATGGTATGGACTCTCATCATTTTTATTTTATTCAACTTTGACGGGTAAAATTAAAAATTTTCATTGTCATTTGTATGTCCAAATTCATTGATTGGAAAACTAGGATTGAAATCAACTAAGCATTTTATTACTACTGTTGTTATACTCAACTTTGATGATTGTAGTTGGTTAACCATTCTATGGTGGTCAATATCACGTTTGTCTAATGATTTTATAGTACTGATTAAATTCTATATATCACGTTACAATTTGGCCAACAGTCTAAACCACTAGACATTTCGTGCACTGTGTTGGTGTGCTAATTGATAGTAGATGGTCAGAGAAAATTTTGAACTTAGATTCCACGTCATTTGGCTGGGTGATGTGGTTTCAAATCTCATGGGTAGCATCGGTTGTCACAATATTCCAAGTACATCTAGTTAACAAGCACGAACTAACACAAAGCCTACATTAAACAGGGCATTTCGTCGACTATATTTAACCGTCCTACGGTTTCATGAATATAATAGAGCAGTTTGCTTATTAATCAACACCTAAATTTCAAACATTCGATCTCAAATTCAAATCACATTTTACCCTATTCACTTTGAGTAACTGGCTGATCTCACTAGACCTCACTCAAAAGTCATGCAACAGAGCCAAGCACATAAATATTCGCTTTGTAAACAAGTTAGAGTAGTAATAATAATCATGATGAATCATTGCTTTGAGAAAAAAAACTTTACATATCTAATTGTATAATAAAAAACATTTCAGCTAATATAACCAGAAGTTTATGTCGTGAGATTTTATTTATGGACGAACATCGAGCGATGCTGAAGTGACCTTACGAATGTTCACCTACTGACTAGTGAGAGATGTGTTTTATAAACCAGTGTGACGAATTAGAATTATGATTTACAGTTGATAGTTCAACTTAAGAATTTGATTGAGGATTTTCATCAAGAAAAGATACCAGCAAAATGCCAGAACTCCATTTTCCTAAATGGATGAATGAGCTTCTCGTCAAAATACAACATGTGTTATTCTAACTCTCATTGGTTCATCTACAAATTATAGTCTCACCACTTGTATTAGCTTGAAATGCTTCACAACCATAGATAATCAATAATGTTGATGTGATCAGTAGAAAAGCCGATCATCTTTCTATCTAGAAAATTGACTTTGAGTTCTTAAACTACAGGTCAAGTGGCATAAATACTGTGTAGTATTCTTGTTATACTGATAATTATTGACCAAGTTCATATGTAAATTCATCGAACTATGGTTAAGAACATGCAAGTATTGCTGGTGGCATCCAGACAATATTTAACATCCAGCCAATTTATATCGTGTAGAATGTTATTTGAATGTTCTCTCATATCGATAATCACTGTCTCATTTATTGAACTATATAATTGTTAAGTGGATCAGGCTAGTATGCACTACCTAATTTGAACTTTGATCAGATCAAAAGTTGTTTTGTTCTTTATACTGTATTTAATGGTCACTGATCGTTTTCATTTGCATCGAAATTATAAAATAACGTTGATTGAGTTGATCAGCTTTAACGAGCACTTCTTGTGAACACAACTAATGTTGCACAAACATCCAAATGAAGGTTTGTATTTACATTAATAGATTTTTGATTAACATTGTCAGGAATGACCAAGTTAAACTAATTGAATGATATAGTCACTTTTCGTTTATTCAATTGGCATTATGAGTGACATGACTGAACAGAGAAAGGAAACTTGTAGTTTGAAACGTGAAACAACACTACTGATACAAGGCTTTGAATATCACTATTGTTGTCAGTTGAATTTTGATTTTGGATATAATTTGTGAAACTAGCGAATATACAGAAGAAACAGTGATGGATTATATAAAATTCGCTTATTTGACTTGTACATTCGTGGAATATGTATTCATTAAATGTATTGATGATTAGATAAAAGCCTTGAAATAACTTATTTGTAACTATGTCACTACACATTATTGTATTCTAGTGACCTGATTTGATGTTGTGATGTACATGCATCACACACATGAGGACTTCATTTTATGAACTAATCAATGTGATGTAAGATAGTGAGTCTTGTATCTGGCGGACAATTCATTTCATTAATATCATTTAAGCATAAGATCTGATGTCAGTTCATGAAGAAAACCTAATTTTAATTGTCAACCCTAACCTCTAACTTTCATACTCAATTGTAATCCTTCACACTAATTTAGAACCAAAGTTCGGCCGCAGTAAGTGATCAATGTTTGTGAAGAACACTTTAATATCGCTCAAATGTCGTTTAATGCTCATAGTCTAGCCACCGGTTTTAGATATTTGGTAGCAGATCACATTGATAAATTTGAATTAAACGAGAACAACTAAAACAGCAGACATAATATGAATTCATCACACGTCGTGGTTCCTCATCAGCTGATTAAACCTTGAACATTATATAGCATAGTGAATATTTGAAATTCATTAAAATCCGACATTTAATGATTAATATTATGATGCTGATGTTGGAAGCAACTGTTGAGAAACACCGAACTATAGTAGATTTATTTTATCTCTGCCACGTAAATTGTCTTTGCTTTGGTCAAACATGATGAATGTTTCATTAACACTTTTGTTCACAATATTCACTAATCATAACAGTGCCAGTCAAGTCAGATTGCTTTATATAATCAATTGTTTAATAGTAATCCTATATCTAATTCTCTCTTATCAGGATCACATACATACAATGATGGAATCAAATATAATAATCAAGTGGTAATCTGCGACGATTCCAAGTTATCTGGAATGGTTGATCCAGTACGCACTCGATTAATATTGAAAGTAGAAATCAGTTGAAAATATTCATTTCAGAATGTAGGTGTTTTTAACCAATATCCTTCAAGTGTTTCTATCAATATTGATGACTACATTAGTGTTCGCAATGTATGTCACTTACTAATAATTCAGATGTTTGTTAATCATGTTTTAGAGATGATTCCATTAAATATCTTAACCAAAATTATTGGATTCTTTATATTTTAAGGTAAGTGTATTAAATGTCAATTGATCATCATATATTCGAAATGCGTTTAGTAAGCTAGTATTAGAATCAGGAATTTCTAACTCTCTTAGGTCGACCCTCCATATCCACGAACCCCGTTAAAGTGCAGAACACTCTCTTTTCGTCCTCTCAATTTCTTAAAAAACATACAAGCCTCGAGAAAGTAATGGGTTGGATTTCTCTGGCAGTGGCTACATACGTGTTGTCATATGAGAGCATTTCAAGAGTGAGAACTGATTCTCCCAACTTTCAGCCACACCCGGGCATTTGATAAGCTAGTACCGCATATTTTACACACGTATAGAGTACACACAAATGTTGTGCGCCAGGCGGAGTCATTATGTTGAAATAAGTTAAGTTAAATGACAAATTTATAATTATTCTTTCGTTTACATAAAACATGATAAGAAAATACTGTGAATACTACAAATCTAGTATGAATAACATTGAAGACATTTCAGTTTCATTCATTTTTCATGCGCTTGCAGATGGCTCTATGTAGAAAATATCAAACAAAATAAAGTTTTACATAATAGTATATCCTTTAATGTATATGATTGAATGATAGTGCATGATTGGTTTATTCAACTACGTGTACATTTCATCAAGATTGATACAACTTGGCACATGTCACTCTTTGTGATTCTTTTCAACTACATTTTCTAAATTGCATATAGTTATCTTATTGAATTGATTTTGACACTTTATAATTTACATTACAGTTCCATTTCGATTGGTGCAACCATTGCAATTTTCTTTATTCAGAGATTCCCACATTTGAAATACCTCACGGATTTCCTTTATGTACTACTCGTAAGTTGTATTTGATAGAGATGGATGAATATGTATCAACGTTTGGCAACAGCAATATGAACTTGATTTTATATTAATGAATCTCAGTAGGATGTCACATCATCATGTTAGTTGTTATGTCAATGAGACTATTCTGTGGATGTGCAAAATGAGTTATTGATGTTGCTAGATATTGACAAACATTTATTATCTTTGATGACCAATTCATCAAACATCGTATGTGATTTATGTGTTATCTGTTCACTGATCTAATCTCGAGACGATGACTGACGAGGTGGATACGTGAAAATTCTCTGTATACATGAGTCGAGAACATTGTTTTTAGTGGGGAAATGTGTGTTTAGAGACTGACAGTAACTTGTTCACACGAGCAAAATTTATGAATGCTTTATCAAATATAAGCAAATTATGGTTACATGAGAAAGGTGCTGATCCAAAATTCTGATGATTTCTCGAGATGTCTTGAATGTCCAGTGATTATGTGCATCTACTCTGAATTTTATTCAGTAGAGATTTCATGTGCTTTATCGAGATATTTCGCTAATATGCGATTAATATGCGGTCACTCATTGCCTAATAAATGTCAGCATGTTATACCATCTAACTAATTATTACATGAAGGTATTTCTCCCCTTTTAATGTGATTTGGCACAAATTTTCTATCATGTAAAGACAAAATTTAATAGGTGGTTTCGCTTGTATAAAAGTTAATTAAAATAATCCATAGTATCATTGAATAAGAAAGAGAGAATTCGGAGAAGATTTTCTCTTCCATAAAATCATTTACTCAAGCTGTACATTCGTATATACAGTTCTATGGAAAATATATGCCCTTTGAACAATTCTCTTTTTCCCTTCATTTCAAGAGCTTCAGCTTCGCTGGCTTGATAACCTGTCTTTCAATTTACGCAAAGGGAATGTTCATATTTATCAGTTGGATTTTGGCCATCATTCTATCAGTGTTATTGTTTATGATTGGAATAAACATTAAACGTGATTTGGTCAGATACTTTTGGTTGTTTTTGACGTATATCGTTTTTATCCTTATTATCATTACGATTCTGGTGATCTTATGGATTTTAAAAATTCCTGCGGTGAGTATCAATTAGCTTATATTTTAGTAGATTGCATGACAATTTTTGATTTTATGGGATATTCTAAATCAGTGTTATATATCCACTAGTATTATTCTATCAGTAGTGAACGCACACCTGAAGTAAATACGTTCACTCTTATACAGGATACACTATGTAATCATCAGCGTAGCTACGTTAAATTGCATTACTGTTTCACCATTGTTGAGATCCCATCTTATTTGGTTTTATTAATCACTGAATTTGATCGTTAATCATTTGCATATGATACAGTGCCTAGGATTTCTTGTGTATCCGTTATGTTTAGATAATATTTGAATTGTAGTATTTAATCAGTATACATGTGAAAATGAGATTGTTGAATTCAAGAAAGTAGATATTTCAATATTATTTATTCTTAGATATATTGATGCGTGGGTAACAGGCTTCTTTGCAAAAGAGTAACCGAATAATATTGATAATTTGATTACGATTGTCAAAGTTAGCATGAAAGTCAAATTTTCAACAATTTATTCACTGGTTAATGTCAATAAACAAATGAATTTCAGCCATCAGGGTTAAAATAATGTTGGTTCACATAGAAACTACTTATTTATTTCATTTCTGGTAAATTTGTATTAGTGTGATGAATTATTGAGACAACAGGAGTTCAGATCGTAATTCACTGTCGATAATTATTAATGATTATGAACTAAATTCTAGCAGTCTTCACAGAGAACACCATATTCAACATTGTTAGTTCATGTCTATATGACATCAATGTTGGAATAAAGAGTCATCAAAGACGGATTTATTATTTAATCCTGTGAAAAGAAAGATGAAACTAACTCAAATATGGAAACAGTTTAGTTGACGCTCGCGTTCACATTGGTTACCATATAGCACTGCTCTCAGTCTCATTTCGATTGAGATTATTCATTTTGAATTTCGTTCACATCTCTCGCAGTAATACAATATGTACTACATTAATTGAATTCAGCGTCACAAAAATTAACTTGATGTCACATGTGATTGAGTGGTGGATTGAAGGAAACATACAGATGAATAGATGATTTTCACACTAGTAAATAATTTAACTTTGCATTTCAGGTGACGTGGGCGATTGGTCTCCTCGTTTTAGCCATCGTAATTCCGGTGAGTGAATAGTAGTTTGAATGAAATGAGATTACTGTCTATTCACCTTCCTCCTTCAATACAAATCCATGCATGGAATAAGTTAAGATTAAACCATATCACTTCAGTGAGCTATTCACACATCAATGTGTTATGTGTCAATATACACTATGAATCTGTTTCACTGAACAATGTGCCATAATTATTTCTATAAGAAAATTTCAACAAACATTTTTAGATGTAGATGATCAAATATTGGAAGTAATCATTAACTGTTGTTTATTCAATAGATATACTCAGGAATTTCGAAACCTGCTGATTCCGTTTATGGTTAGGTAACATACTAACTAATATTGGACTTCTTCAACATATCTGTTGTAAATGAAGTGAATTGACAAATATTAGTGAAGTGTAGCAAGAGATATTCAGATTGTGATTACATCATCACTTTAACACTCATCAAATTATGTAATAATATTATTTCACTTGCAAATAAGTCAGTTAGTGAATTATAATTCAGAATCATTTGATATTAGATAAACAAATAATCAGTATTGAATGTTGTGAATTTCAATTTGTACATTGTTATTGTGATTTTAGGCTAGTTTAATTGAAGCTCAAATATTTTGTGGAGGAAGAAGAATATACTACAGAGCTGAAGATTTCATATTTGCATCAATGGTTCATTTGTTCTTACTGACTTTCTCATATTCTGGATTTATTTTAATGCTTCGCAACATTAAATTATCCTAGATGATGTTTCCGCTTGCAATTGTGTACTTCTGATGGTGGAGTAGAACAGGAATGATGAATATGAGAATTTCTGTGTTTGTTCACTTGTCTTCATTTCTATTCATTGTACGTGATTAAGCAGAATCGGATTTGAAATTATTGAGTTTTAAATGAACTAATCATTGTGAGTTTGTGTTGTCATCAAGTGGGAAAGGGAGTTTCTGTAAGTCATTCGATTTGTAGTTTGTACTATATCATTGATTTCGTGTAGATGGTGATTGGGAGTGTGGATGTAATATAGTAGTATGCCGTTGATTATGTGATTAAGTTGTTTGAAATAAATCGAATATACTCTGAATTGCAAATGTCTTGACTGTTACATGGTGTTCGTTCATTCCATCCATCTGAACGTTAGTTGTATTGAGAAGAAAGTTAACAAAGTCATCCATTTGGACACAATTCTACTTTATCGTGATTTATCTGGTTTGTTGAATATGAAATAGAGAAATTGTAGATTGAAGTTTATGGTATGTTTAAGTAGAAAATCGATTTATTCGTAAACACATAAACAAGGATTGATAATAGTTTAGTATATGTATATGGGTGGATGTATCATTGATATTTGTGGTGTGATAGATGTAACTCATAGTTGATTTTGCCCTATTATGTCAAATGATTTGTTATTGAGATCTACTAATAAAGACACACATGTAGCGAAACAGTCGCAAAATACTGATGCATAATACAAATTTATTTACCTATTGGTTAATATCGGAACTTTACGAATTTTATTTTTTGAAATCGGTATAAAGTATAATTTATGAATTTACACTAACTATGACGAGAACGTAATGTATAATTGGTCAACTGTATTTGAGTGTATTAAAACAAGAGCTCCTTAAATTGTATATGTAACATTTTAGCTAACACAACCAGGAAATTAAAGTGAAGTTTATGTGGTGAGTCTATAATTTATGGACTTCGTTTGAGCGATGGTAAGGTGACCTTACGAATGTTCACCTACTGACTAGTGAGAGATGTGTTTTATAAACCAGGGTGACGAATTAGAATTATGATTTACAGTTGATAGTTCAACTTAGGAATTTGATTGAGGATTTTCATCAAGAAAAGATACCAGCAAAATGCCAGAACTCCATTTTCCTAAATGGATGAATGAGCTTCTCGTCAAAATACAACATGTGTTATTCTAACTCTCATTGGTTCATCTACAAATTATAGTCTCACCACTTGTATTAGCTTGAAATGCTTCACAACCATAGATAATCAATAATGTTGATGTGATCAGTAGAAAAGCCGATCATCTTTCTATCTAGTAAATTGACTTTGAGTTCTTAAACTACAGGTCAAGTGGCATAAATACTGTGTAGTATTCTTGTTATCGTGATAATTGTTGATTACCTTCATACGCAACTTCATCGGACGATGGTTTTAGTATGAAACAAACAAACAAACAAAACAATTTCTTGAACATTTTTCTCATAAATAGTTAACTCATTAATTCAGTGTCATCTTCACGAATTCCAGATCAATAAAAGCAATGCAGAATAAAGAATCGATAAATCCTTTTTTGTCGTTTCAGTGGGTAACACGTTGTGGTACTGTGTAACTTAGCTTTACCTTTTGTAAACACTGACACGATCGATAATATGACTATTTCCGATGAACTTTGGTTCATTTATTCACGTGAATTCATTTGATTTTGTATAGTTCTTTCTAAAATCTATTTACATTATGGAGTGGAATTAGTTAGACACAATTTGAAATAAACTAGAGTGTATTAGACAGAAACATAAGATTCATGTAGACACAGGTATGAACGAGTCAGAACGTATATGAATAACAGTGAGAATCAATGTGATTCAGAATTCTTGTCCAGTGTACTTATCTTCGTCATAATTGAGTCATCAAATATGATGTGTATAGATTTTGTATATTTGATTGTAATGAGATGGTGTTATTTGTATTAGTTCTTACAGATGTAGATGCGCGAAGATTAGAGGTGACTATGGATAAATCACGAAATAATTTGCTTACTATATTATTATTATGAGGGATTTGATTTATTCGCTGTTGATATTAATGACTGAATTGTGACCAGTCTTCATTTGTATTCCGATGTAAATATTGACACTGAAAAACAGGTAGACCTATCTGATGAGTCACAAATAGGACGGAAGTGATTTCTTAGATTCCACTGGCAGACACCAATCAACTATACTTAAGAAGTCTTGTGACCTAATATCACTATCCAGACCGACATTTCAAGTTACGAATATGTTAATGGAAACTCATCATTCAAGAGGTATTATTGACGAATCTGCATATTTTATTATGTTTTAAATTGGTTCGTGTTCAAAGTTAAAGTACCTTGACCGTAAAGTATTTTATACTTAGTCATTTAAGTGTAGTTGATTTATTCACTTATCTTGATAGATGGAATAGCTTCACTTTTCTTTTACTGAAAAATATATTTATTATTTGGTTTTAATTTATTATTCATTCTACTTCTTTATTGCGAAGTAAAATTTCATCTGAATCTAATGGATCATGTTCCACTTAGAAAAATACTTAAGTTTCAAGTATGACTTTCAAATATTCAGATTGAGCAACATTTTACTGTAATTACCAAATAAGATTAACATGAATATTATTAGATAGTTTAAGTGATACTTACATAAGGTCAGTGTGAATTGATAGTCTTATAGTTAAAAACAAAGAAAAAAACATGTTTAAAGGTTAGCAATAAAATTGGTTCCATACTGATGTGAACAGAGAAACAAGAAGCCTTGACAAACTACGGAACCTATTTTTAGGGACGTTATTTCAGTTAATTCAAAGCTTGTATAACACGAACATTTATTTTTGTCCCTAATCTATTCTACAGATCATATGCTTTCGTTTGATGTAAGATTCACTGCCATAGCCCTTTTTGTTCCAAAGCTATTGTAATTTAAATGTATTATTTTGTACTCTTTTCTACGCTAATCCCCAGTTTTGAACATTATTGTATTTCCCTAATTATTGTATATTGTGGTCGGGTTGGTCATCTACTTATTCACGTATCGGCGAGACTCTAATTTAGGGACGAACCTTGAACGAATCTTAAATAACCTTGACAATTATTAGCCAATCAGAAGACAGTTAGTATAAAGTAAAAATATATTATAAGAAAGTATGAGTTACAGTGGATAGTCTTCTTTTACATGATTTAAAAACTTGTTAAGGTTCAGAAGTCCTGAAATCATAATGCATACGGTATATAAACTCGTCCATATGGCTCCATAACAGTCGTCCTCTAGAGCCGTGGTATGATCTTAAAAATTTCTTCAGTCTGGACCACATAGCTTCAATATTATTAGTATGGACGCCGGTTGTAGGGTCGACGAAATCGCGCTCGTGCACTACCACATGATGCACATGTCCAAGTCTATGTAGGCACCTATAAGCTCGCCAATCATCCGTATATACTGTTGTGCCCGGCTGAACTTATTCCTGTATAATTGGTATTATTGTGTTTGCTTGCCGGTTTCTGACCCTCTGAAAATGTCCCTTTTGTGTTGATCGGTCATAAATTTTAAGTACCTGTCAAGTATATTTACGGAAATGCTACTTACCCATTCTTCCTTGATACTACGTCCCCCATTGTATTTTCACTTTCTTACTATCGTTTCATCTATCTCCACAATGCATTCTACTCCTCCAAATGATTGACATAGAAGTGTCATTTTACTTGCACATATGTCACGACAGTACTCAAACCACTGGACTGCTGAAGTTCCAGTAACATCTGCAAACGCCGCAGCCAGTGTTACTGGTGTCTTTATTACCCAGTTTGCCACTATTATCATGATCTGCCTTAGTGTCAGTCGCGATCGAGCGAAGAAAGTCCCCGTTCGAGCAAACATTTTCCTCCAACATGAAGAACAACGAAACATAATCTCACCTCGGTGGTCTGTACACTTTGCTGCAGTCATTTGATAACCGCAGTCGCACGTACAAGAACTTCTTAATAGTCCCATCCGTTGTAGCCTCTCAATAATCACCTCTTCTCTAAAATCCGCTGTAAACCGATCGTATTTTAGCATCACGTGTTGAACTTGGCTCGTGACCTTGAAACTGCTCAAACGCTTCTGATTGGCTCGTCCTTAAATTAGAGTCTCGCCGACTTGTCTTCTCTCACTCGTGTGCTTGTCAGCCTCTGATTTATTTGGTAAACATGAAAATGAACAAAATATAGTTTGTCAAATTCGTCTTCAGATTGGACACTTGGTTGAAGGCAGCTTAAGGACTAGTAGGTTTTGAGATAGTACTCATCGGTAAAGTAGAAGATCACTGGTCCTAAAGACGATATAAAGCTAATTAATAAATTAGCGGACATAACATTTGTCTGCTTCTATAATAAGTAACTTGATCACACTACGACAAAACAAAGAGAAATTTTATTTTTTTGAAGTTGGGTCATTTTACATTCCATATCTCTACAGTATCAAATCTACCTTTGTAGATTCCAGTGCCAACATACACTCACAACCTGTCTGCCATTTAATTGTCCGTTTATGTTGCCTGTTTCATGAGAAAATTCGTAGGAAAAAATTCCTGCTGGACAGAAAATTTAACCACTTAGTTTCGGCAACTGATAAAATTTAAATCAGTGACAGATTTCCCACTGTTAATTCTGATAATTTAGTCGGGACAGAATTACGCTTGATAGTCAGGTAGTAAGTTCATTAGAAGATGAATGATCTACAAAACTGTTTTTCATTACATTGTTACATGATACCTTACGATGTAGTTTTGAATGATCAAAATTTTCTGTAAGAATTGACTAGTTTGGCAAATGTAGTATTGGCGAGAACTTAAGCATGAGTACTTACTTACTTGAGATATATGCATAATGACGAGTTCTACTCCACTGATTGTTTGACGATGATCCGTAGTGTCTCAATTCGGTCTGTGCACGACCTATCCTTACGGAATCCAGCCTGTTGATCAAAAATTTG